TTTTTCTCAAAACGCCCCCTTCCCCTGCTCCTCGGTGGAGATGAATCCGAGTCATTGGCTGGAACTTCCTGTTCATCTGGAATAAGAGCAAATCACTGATAAACATAATAGACCACAAGCAGGTTATTGCCCAATATTAAAGGACGTAGAGACAACTAGTTACCATCACTGCCATCTTGAGAGGCATCTCTGTGTTTGCGACAGTAAACACTAATTTTCAGGGGGGGAAAAAAAATGGTCTCACATAGTGATAAAACATATGCAGTTCTGTGATAAGCAGCATCAATATGCTTACAGATAGATGCCTTGAGAGGGATTCTCCTTGGTCTGTGCCTTGTCCCATAGAGCGCAGTAATAGTGATATGTCCGCCTACATGTCTTCACATCACAGCCGATGGTCGCCCCGGGCCGATGACATGAAGTGCACATCTGAACAGGAAATCAGCAGGTGAGATAGAAAAGCTGTATGTTTATCCTCTAATCTCTACTTTCAGCCTTAAGGAACAACTGCATTTTATGAGAGCTTACTAGTTTATTTCCTCTTTTTATCTCCTTCTTCACATCCTCGACAGAAAAGCCTCCAATGTTTTCACTCTCCGAGTGAGATGTGACCAATGCCGATGAGAAAAGCTGAGTAAAACAATCATGGGTCAAATGTTAGACATGCATTTTGTTAAAATACATACTTTTTATATTTATATATAACAGATGTTATTGTCACAACACATGTGACGCTCAATATTCATATTCTCTGAGATCAGTTTTGTGAAACCAGGCAAATAAATCAATAAGATAAATACATGAATAAGAGCTGTTTCCATCCCTTTTTACAAATATAGAAGAAAGCTAAGCTAGTGGACAGCTAACATACCATGCACTTGTGGTGAGCTGCCACCCTGTGGTTCTCTGACACCAGTAACTGTCCACACTCTTTGTCACGGTTGGTTCTACAGAAGGCACATTTTCGAAGGCGTGCTGAAGCTCCTTTTCTCTGTCCTGACATGACCAGTTTTCACACACTCCACCTCTCCTCTGTTTTGAAGACAAAAAACAACATTGCCATTGCCCTGATGTGCACAGGTAGGAAGAGCAAAGATCATTTTATAGTTCAGATCTGAAGAATAACTTTCCACGTTTTGTGTAAGTATATAAAGCAACAGATGGTTAAAATCCATGTTCGGAGGACAGGGTTTTTTGGGGGGGTGATTTTTGAAACACCACATCTGTTACTGAATCACTCTATATGAGAGAAAAATATAGTTTAGGCAGATGGTTGTAGTTAGTTTGCTTATGCAACTCAGTTATTAAACTAATTTGTCTGTTTTGAAATTTCCCCAAAAAGAAATACATGACTATCAGGACTTAAACTTCTTCCAAATGTCTTTATTGCAACAGTCTATTTCTAGTATGAAAATGTTTGATGGGTATTATATTATTAGATGTTACATATTACATCTACATAAAAAAAAAACACTTATAGAAGAAATAAAACAATCACAGTTTTACTAAATCTTTTAAATTTAGAAATTCAAATTAGTAGAAAGTTTAAAAGAAAAAAAAACATTTTTGTTGCTGTACTAATTAGATGTTTAAGACAATTTAACACATTTGGCAAAATGTGTATGATGGTTTTATTCTGCTTTCTACATAGATTACTACTAAAAATCAATCAAAACAAAAAACAAATCTGTTTTAAAAGTGAATATCAAAGCTCACATTAATACATTTCCATATTATTGGAAATATAAAACAACATGAGATCTATATAATGCTACGCTTAAATTGTGTTAAATAAATGTATGAAGACAGTTGCCATTTCATTTTAGGAGGGGGCAACCTCGCAATGGGGATAATTGTATTTGGGGGTCCAAAAAAACCCTTATTTTAAAAAAATTTTTTTTTTTTTGAAATCCCCTTATTTTACAAGGCTACTTAAAATCCAATGAACTCTGATCTTACTATAAGCATGGTGTAGTAAATAAACTGGATGGTCTGAGTAACGTTACATATTTCAAGTTTATCCCTTGTGGAAAACAAATCTCTCTATGACGGACAAACCGTAAGCTTAGTCCAAATGTAAGAGCACATAACACACAAAACCTGTTAATACAACCTTGTTGTGTCTAACTTACACCATTTTATTGGCATTACAATAACGTAGGAAAAGTACATGGGTGGCGTATTCGAAACGCTGCATTGCCAATAGGAAGCTTTGACCGAGTTCACAAAACAGCCCCAGCGCGAGACGGCTAACTCATCAGTTTCACCCAAACCTGAAAAAATATCGAGATTTCGCTGGTACGATTATATATTCATCATTCGTATCGTGTTTTGAGATTGATGGCGTGTTGTTTAGAGTCGCGATGGCTTTACCCGCCTTCGCACAACAGAGCAGCTCATCCGCTGCCATGATAGCCGAGAAGCTGCTCTCGCGCTTCAACACAAACACCAGCAACGCAACACCGCGCGACACTCTGTATCCACAGAACAGCTGATACAACCTGCCCAAAGTCTCGATCAAGCCCTCTAAAACCAACACACACAAGGGACAACACCGCATCCCTCACCGTTTTCACAAATAAGGGAGGAGGAGGATATACAGGCCCACGACAAAGCTCTTGTTTCGCTTTTAACAAAAACTCCTTTACTTTCCAGTGAATATGAACTAATATAAGACCAAGTCCACCTGGGGTCCACCTCAAATTATACAAAGATCATGTGTATATTTGTATAAGTGTAGCCCATTAAAGGCCCGCATCATACGGTGGCTAAAACAATACTGATGATGAAAAACTGTGAGTAAATATTTTAATCTGAACTTCTGGGGTGAATGCAAGCCATAATTTGGTTTTTATAATACATTGTTCGCTGCGGGCTCATTTTGCCCGCTTCACATGGGGATACCCGCCATACGAAAGGTATTTACATATCGCAGCAAAAAGACGAAGCTAGTTCCGACAATTGTTCCACTCACCCCATTGCTTTCCTGACTGTAAACTGTACATTGCAGTGTCTGTGTGACATATTGTGAGCTCTTACCGCTGCTGTGTTGAATGGGGACAGATTTACAGCGGCTGTGAGCGCGTGTTCTCGCTCTTCCTCTCGCTGAGCTTTGAGTGCTTGCAAGTTCTGCCTCTCACCATTGCGAGGCGTTCAAGTGACGTCGCACACTGCAAAAAGCATGTTTGTCCGACATTGAAAGCATACGCGCACGCCCCTTACGTACTGTGGTCACCGTCAAGATAGCTTGAGGAATAGGCCTAGACGAGCAAATATGAAATACAGATGAGTTGCATAATGGTCTGACAAAATGCGGATGGTGTATGGATATTTTTTTTTAATAAAATGTAAGTATTTACACATAAATATTAAGTATCATATTTTATGAGACTAATTTATCTTTTTTAAAATAAAATAATTATTTCTTTGCACCAATTTTGCAATTTTAGGGTGACCATATTTTGATTACCAAAAACCAGGAGAGTCGGCCGGCAAACAGATACTCGAAGTTTACTCAAGATGCCTTATTAAATTCAATTCATTTAAAGTAGGCTGCCTCCTCTCTATGGATAGAAAATGACTATATTACAAGACACAAATCTTCTCAGAGGTTAGGCCTACTCAACATGTTTTATTATGACAGGTTTCAAAAATAGGCCTAATTATTGAAACAATGATAGAAATAATGTCTCTAAACTAAAAGAAATACCTCCAAATTGAACAAAAATAGCTCTCACAAACTTACAAAAACGAACTAACAAAATATATCTTTTTCTTTAGTTTTCTTCCTCTTTGTCCTGTTTTTCTTCATCATCCTCCTCGTTTGTCCATCTATTTTGCTGTAGAGCTGATCTTTCCCAGCAGTTTTTTGAAAACCAGGACATTTTCATCACTGAATAAAAAAACAGGATAGCCTGGACAGGACCTGAAAACAAGACATATCCTGGGAAAACATTTGTTACATAGGTTACATGATTCGGACAGGGGTTTTCCATCTTTTTGATGCCACTGACCCCCAAATATGATCATCCCTGTGTAAATTTATAAGGCGTCTAATTTACACACAGAAAAAAATAAAATAATTTAAAATTTCAGTTATTATATTATACTCACTGTATGGATTCATTTTTGTTTATTTACTTATTTCGAATCAAATTTGTATTTATTTATATTAATTATTTACTTAATCTAGTTTAGGCCTTGTTTCACAGAGACAGCGCTTATTTAGGACTTTTAAATAGCTTTTATAATCGTGCGCTAGAAAAAAAAAATATTACTGGTGTGCATCTTCAGACAAATGTGCCTAACCTTTGAGCCCTCAGATGGCTTTGCATAAGAAACCATGCTACTGTGTTAAATATAGCCACATGGGATCGGGAGTACTTTGGAAAACCATTTTCGTAGATACTCCACCCAAAAATGAAAATTCTGTCATCATATACTCACCCTCAAGTTGTTACAAACCTGTATGAGGTTTTTTTCTTCTGCTGAACACAAAGGAAGATACTTTGAAGTATTAGTTTGAACAGTATTAGTTTTTTTTAAAATATACATTTAATGTATTACACATTCAATAATTTATTATACATTTGTGCATAAAATCCACTGTTCTGACCAGCAGGGGTCACCAGCGTGTTGCGTTTCCAAACAATGATTCATTATGCGAGGCACTTGGTGCAATTGATTTCGAAGTTTCGAAAAGCCTAGTTTCTTCCATCACAAACTTTTACTGTCTATGATCACAACATGGGCTGCGTTTCTCAAAAAGCATCGTGAGCTAAATTGATCGTAGAGACCATTGGTGGCGAAAGGTCTACGGTGTACTTTGGCTTACGATGCTTTCAAGAAACGCAGGTCAATATTCAGGTCCTGCTTTCAGTGGTTGTGTACTTGTGTTGCCTCATCTTCATTCAGTTCGATTCCTGGTCAGGGTGTGCGCCTCCGTCTCGTGTTCTGATTGGTCAGAGTTAACGTCAATTAAAAGGGGGCGTTCGAAAACTCTCTTCAACTTCCCTGATAAAGTAAATCGGCAGAAGTGTACGAGGCGAGGAACAAACCATTCTTAAATTATTCGCAGTTACTAACTTATTAATTATCTCCTTCTGGGGAGATACATATTTAGCTCGTTATAGTTTGAACTGGATTTATATATCTAAGTTATATCTAGCTGCTAACAGCTCGACCTAACGATTCTTCTCGTCGCGTAGTTTGGATTTTAAAGTGGACGAGTGGTGAACGCGGTGAGTGTCTCTGCCTTTCTTCCACCTCCTGCTAACACACATCCACTTAGCCTGATATGTTGTCTGTCATGTTGTTTTCTATCTATATCGCACTTTAATACACATTTTATGTTGATTTGTTGTTTTCAAATTAGTTTCTCGATAATCTTTTTTTCTGTTCACGATGAATGATCAGCTTATAATGTTCGCGACTTGACCAACTGTCAAAATGTCATCGAAAAGTTGAAAGGTTCAACTTTAACCGCGTCTAACAGGAAACCTAGAGGAGCCGTGTGACAAAAATCCACTCTGACAGATTACATTGATGGAAAATGTTATTATAGAAGTTATCTAAGTGGTTAGTTTCCTGGTTTGAGTTATTCTTCGAGCTAATTTGGCTTTACTTGAAAGAAGTCGGTTAGCAGCGAGCTACATGGCTACATGTCCAGCCTGCTGAAAGATTGAAACAAAGTGGATTTTATTTCTCCCTGTGCCATAGTTGTTTTTTTTTTTTTATGGGTACCTGATAAGGATAAGGGTTATAGGGTGGCACACTACCCAATAAAGTGACCGTGATCAGTAATATTAAGTTCCTGAGAAGTGTTGATCGATAAGTGCTGGGAGGCGGTTAGCTTAGCTCATCGGGGTATTAGCTGTTTTTCAAGTTGAACAATTTGCCTAGTTGCTCATAGAAGCGACTCGTTTAGTAAATGTTTTCCTCTTTTGTGTCATGCTTTCACATGTGGTGAAATCTTAACTTGTACTTGTTAGTGTTAAGCAAGTTTAGAAGGTGTTTCATAACATATTTGGTTTATTACTTGCGCAATAACAAGAAACAAAATAAACAAATAAACAGCCATAAGGCTCATAGTCTGTAAATAATATTAGTGTAATGCAAATTAATCCACAATTTATGTTGTTTTTCATATCTCAGAGCAACTTTGACAGAGTCTTTCATCTTAACGTGTTTTTATTGGTGTATAGTTGTGTTAGCAGTCATAACAGTACAGGCAGTTTTCTTTGTATGTTTCAACTCTGAAGTGTATAAACAAAATTATTAAAATCAATGTTTTGGCTGCTTTGAAAATGCCTGTCTTTTCAGGTTTGTCCATTTGTCCACTCATTGTTAATTTTGTTTCGTTTAATTTTTAAAGGTGAAACTTTTCCGTTTGTCCTTCGAAGTCCAACACACATCCCAGCTAAAACCATGCCATTCCCCTTCGGAAAGCCTCAGAAGAGCCCTGCAGACATTGTGAAGAGTCTGAAGGAGAATATGGCATACTTGGAGAAGCTGGAATCATCTGAAAGCAAGAAATATGAGAAGGTAAATCCCTTTTTTCTTTTTTGAATCTCAATGCAAATGTGACGCAGTCAGAAAAACTCACTGTTTTTCCTGTAGGTTGCAGAGGAAGTATCAAAAAATCTTGCATCGTTGAAAGAGGTGCTGTCTGGCACTGGAGACAAGGAGCCTCAGACTGAGGCAGTGGCCCAACTTGCTCAAGAGCTCTACAACACCAACCTCCTCATTTCACTCATTGCAAATCTACAGAGGATTGATTTTGAGGTGCGTATCACTCCGTTTGAAATGTTTGGATTACAACTACTTCCGTCCTGCTGGAAGATGCATTGCTCTGTGCACTAACCACTCATTTGCTGTTTGCTCTGTTTGATTTATATTATGTTGTTCACCAAAGGGAAAGAAGGATGTGGTGCATCTGTTCAGCAACATAGTACGTCGGCAGATTGGCGCTCGCACCCCGACTGTGGAGTACATCTCGTCCCACTCTCAGATCCTCTTTATGCTGCTGAAAGGGTGAGTTTCCAGACCCCAGGGCATAGCCATGGATCAACACTTTCAGAAACCATTGATTAGCCTGGCTTTTCCAATTGATGTTATGGGAGTCTGTGGTTGTATGGTTATTTTTGGACCATCATTTCCTGTCCACGTGGCTGAGCTGCCAATGAACTTTATCTTCCACAACACAATCGTATCTAGTTATTGACACTGTAGTGTCATATTATCATATTATCGACTCTTTAACGGTTTATTTTGGGTAATGTTTTATACAGCAGTGGCCAAAAGTGTTTTTTTTTTTTTTTGTTTTTAATGACCCTACAGTCCATCGAAATATGAGGGAAATATTTTATATATATATATATTTTTAAAGTTAAACCTGAGAAGAACAAACAACAGGGGTGGTTGATTTATGATTTCACTTTTCTAACTTTAGTCAGTATGTAATGTTGCTGTTTGAACAAACAACATCTGCAAAGTTACGAGGCTCTAAGTTCAAAGCAAAGGGAGATATTTTCTTTATGGGACAGGCACAAGAACGGTGTGTTTTTGACCGTTTAACATGCTATATAAAAATGTCTGTGGAGTATTTTGAGTTAAAACTTCACATACACACTCTGGGGACATCAGAGATTTATTTTACATCTTGTAAAAAGGGCATTATACCACCCCTTTAATGTTCAAAATTATTGGACAAAAAAAGCAAGCTACAACAAAAAACATAGGGAAAAAAGTTACAATGACTAAAACATAATCTATTATATTATTTTTTCTTTGGTTCTCTCTTATTTTTGCATGTGCTTATTGTTTCTTTGTACGACAGTCTGGACAAAAATTGTCTGCACAACTTTGCAATATGCTTACAAAATTAACAAATTTGTAATATTTTTTGAATAAAAGGTTTAAATTTTCCTAGACAGACATCCCTTTTGTCCACTACTGTAAATGGATACAAACAAGTGTGGGTCTTGCATGCTAGAGAAGTAACCATTTAAAAAAAATCTACCTTTTGAAAGCAGCTATGAAACCCCAGAAGTGGCCCTTAACTGTGGCATGATGCTGAGGGAATGTCTGCGTCATGAACCTCTGGCCCGAATCCTTCTGTTCTCGGAGGATTTCTTCTGCTTCTTTCGCTATGTGGAGTTGTCTACCTTCGACATTGCCTCTGATGCTTTTGCCTCTTTTAAGGTATGACATGTACACAAAGCATCATCCATTTTGTGGGCTTTTCATTTGTAAACTTTGACTTTGACTTAAGAAAGAACATGAAGAATGCTACAATACATAAAAAAAAATCAGAGAAGTGATCGTTTATGGCTTAACCATTTAGTGATGTCAAAAGTAATTTTCAATTAAAATAAATAAAACCATGAATTTCCATTATACCTTACTGTAAACATTATATATTATGAAGTGGAAAAAAATATAATTTTTTTGTTTACTTCTCATCTATTCATTAATTTTTGTAGATATAAAGTACTTTTGTATCCATAAACCACACAATTCCTCAACTACACCATTAGCTTGCATATTAATTTTTTTTTTTTATGATGCATTGCATTTATGCTCTAGTTCTAGGCCTTCATTTCTGGGTAAAAAAATTCAGATTTATGCCGGATTTCTTTTTCTTTTTTCTTTTTTTTGACGCATAAAGAAAATATATTTAGTTTTTTTTTTTTCACATTTCCCATTCATTTCAATGTGGGGTCATATTGACCCCGAAGACCAGAAGTGTAAACATTTTTTTTTTTTTTTTTAAGTACCTTCAAAACAACTGAAGCCCAGTTTTTGTGTGTGTGTGTGTGTGTGTGTAAATATAGATTATGTATGAAAAGTCACAAAATCTTATTCCACTGAGATGAAGGGAACCTTTTTTTATTAAGTAAAAGTCGATTGGGGTCGTATAGACCCCATGACCCGATTGAGGGCTACTTTAGAGGGTTAGATGACTGAACCTAAAATAAAAGCTATGTCATCATTTGCGCTCCCACATGTCATTCTTAACACATTTCCATTTTTGTCAATCCATTGAACATCTATGTGATCAATACTGTATGTTCATGGTTCAAAAATCACATAAAGTGATTGTAAAAGTAATCCATAATAATCAAGCGGTTTAATCCAAGTCTTAAGAGACGAAATCACTTTATATGATGAACAGATTTACTTAATGCTTTTATTCATATATAAACCTTGATCAACAATAAAGCACATCAAATATGTTAAACAGAAGCGTAAAGGTGCATGCTTGAATTTGTACAGTATGACAATGTTTTTTTCCCCCTTTGCCTTTATCTTGTATGACATAAGTGCATTTACCTTAAGACTTTGTTTTTAGGATCTCCTGACAAGACATAAGATCATGTGTGCAGATTTCCTAGAGACAAATTATGACAGAGTGAGTAATTCTTGTTTCCCAATAATACATGTGCCAGTTCTTTTGTATATAAGTGATTTTTAATGCTCTACTTTATGGAGAAATATTATGATAAATCATTTGTTTTTCAGGTGTTCACGGAGTATGAAAAGCTGCTGCATTCCGAGAACTATGTCACCAAGCGCCAGTCTCTGAAGGTGAGAGTAAAACACTATTTTCCGTTGCTTTCAATAATTTAAGGCAGTAATGATATTCCAACCCTTGAGGCTGAGATTAAAGGAATAGTTCACTTAAAAAAAAAAGTCATTTATTAATCACACTCCAATTGTTTCAAACTAAACACAAAAAAAGACATTTTGAAGAATGTTGGTAACCAAACAGTTAATGTATACCCTCCCTGTTTGGTTATTGACTTCCATAGTATTATTTTTTTCCTGCTATGGAAGTCAATAGGGTCCATCAACTGTTTGGTTACCGACATTCTTCAAAATGTCTACTTTTAGGTTCAACAGAAAAATACATTCATACAGGTTTGAAACAACTTGAGTGTGAGTACATGATGACAGAATTTTCATTTTGAAGATAACTATTCCTTTAAGCTGCTGAAGGAAAGTTAGTTGAACTACATTGAAAGTTCATTCATGACAAACCTTATTTGGTGTCACAAAAGCAGCAATTTGTTAGGTGGTTTTGCTTTATTCTTACCATTTGTTGTTGTGCTTAATTGTTTTATATTTATCTAATGATATCCAGCTTTTGGGAGAACTACTACTGGACAGACACAACTTCACAGTCATGACCAAATACATCAGTCGAGCTGAGAACCTAAAGCTGATGATGAACATGTTGAGGGACAACAGCCGCAACATTCAATTTGAAGCCTTCCATGTCTTTAAGGTATGCATTTAAATGCACAGCATTGCATGTAATTTAATATATTTGAGTTTGTCACTTTGCTTGTCTGCTTTTCCCTCCGTCTACTCCAATTACTTTCCACTCTCAGCAGCTGACCGGTCTCCTGTCCCAGTTCTGCCCTCCCTTTTTGAATGTAAACAGGTCAGGGTCAGTTACTAGGGACTGCATGTATGGAGATTCAGTGACTTTTATGGGTTTCTTGTGTCCTCTCAGGTGTTTGTGGCCAACCCCAATAAGACACAGCCTGTGCTGGACATCCTCATCAAGAATCAGTCGAAGTTGGTGGAATTCCTGAGCCACTTTCAAACGGACCGCTCAGAAGACGAGCAGTTCTGCGATGAGAAGAACTATCTCATCAAGCAGATCCGGGACATCAAAAGGTCTGCACCTGCAGAGGAGTCCTAATGGAAACGTGGAGTGTAGAACCGGGGCGCTCGCCTAGTGATGTGGTTTGATTATGTGGGTGAGAATTGGATGGGAGGAACAGCTAAGTCAAAGAAAGAAATCACTTGGACTAAATATATGTACATCTAACTTCTGAAATAGGTGGAGAAATGCTGGCAGAATGTGCAAACACTTGCCTGTCCCTTTAGTTGGGGCGAGCAGGGAGGAGCAAGTAGATCCCAAGCACTCCATTTAAACCTATATATATTTTTAGCACTGCCCTTAGAAAAAAAGTACAATTGATTTACCTTCAGGTGGTAAATCTTAGATTAAAAAATTGTATCCAAATTCATGTGAATGAGAACTATATCTAAAGCCTGCTCGTGGCTTTTTAACATTTTTTTTTAAAGTTTGAACAAGTATATTGGTACAAGGTATGGCTCTGCATATTTGCACTAAATCTGGTAGCTTTGCTCCAGGTTGGCCATTAGTGCCAGTTCACACACATTGTCTTAGCACAAGACAACCAAATATTGTAAAACGGTAGGTCATAAACACAGGACATCATGAATGAGGCCTTATTTAAGTACACAAATACAGTCGACAGGACATTCTCACATTTAAACTAGTTAAGGGATGTTAAAGCATTTTTAAAAGCCAGAAAATGTCATGTGGTCAAGCAAAACCTTTATCTTTGAAAAAACAGCTGTGGAGTTTAGTGGTCATGTTGGATGCTGCACTCAATTTCCATTTTAACTGGGTGCCTTATTTAAATAGCTTGGTCATTCTGGGTCTTCTATTACATTTATATTTATCTATAACATTGGATTTGTAGTATTATTCTGCTTTTGCTTGGGTTAACAAATTAAGAGGACTAGTTTTATTTAAACTGCTTTAAAGTGATAAAAAAAAAAAACTCATTATAGGTTTTCTCAGTCTAGATAAAAATGCAATGAATTCAGGGTTCAAAGACTTCAGTGAAGGTGAAATGCATGGTACACAATTACAGTGCAAGACTTGATAACTTACACACACACTGTAACATTGAAAGGATGTGAAATGCTAGAGCTGGGCATGTCATGTCATTCCTCATACTGCATTTTGATGGACAGCTTAGACAAGCCAATTAAAAGCCTTTAAAAGATGGATACAATAGGAAAGACCATTTAACACAGTTCTTCGTGTCCTGCACTGTCAAACTTGAATGAGCCAAAGCTGTGGTAACATGGTACATCTTACGATGCCTGACTGGACTAAGAATTGGGTTCTCCATTGGATCGCACCTTTCAGAATCTCTTAGAAGTTTTAGATTAAATGCAGAACAGCATTCTACTGAAAGGTTCCACCATTAGTCTTTATACCTTAAGTTGAATATATTTTATGCACTCTATTTGCACAAGTTCCTTTTCTTATATACCTCAGATTTTAAATTCCTAAGTGCTGTCCACCCAACACCCCCCTGCTTTAGTAGATTTTGTGGTATCATAGCATTAGCAAATGCATTTGGTGTCATGAGCTAGCATTGGTTAATCTTGGTTAATGTTCAATATATATATATTTCAATACAGTTAAATCAATTAACATTAGTTTAAACATAAATAACAAACAATGTTATATTCATTATTAACATTAACCTAGATTAATTAACTGTTAATGATGCCTAATGCAAAAAGTAACAAATCAAAGTTTGTCATAAGTGTTTGTTGTCATTATGGATGTGGGGCAGTAGTTTGAATTATGCAAGCTAGAATAAGACTTTACAACACCAAAGTTGTGGTCTTTGTAATGCTGAAAGGACCTACAAGGGAAACCGTTTAATTTTTGCAGTTTACTAATGGGTACATAGTCTGTCACGAGTGTGAGGAGAGCACTCGCCGTGCTTGTGTAAATGAGCCACACTCTAAAAGGTTTTTAATGGATCAATTCAAATGTCAATGTGTTCTTGTGCTTTGACATCGTTTCAGTCAGCGCTTCAGCAGACACAAATGATTTGAAAGTATAACTTGCGTGTTTAGATTTGTGCTTTATTGTAATTATGTAGGGGGGTAAAGGGGTAAAACCTTCTGAGCTGCCTTTCTTGCTCTTATAAACTGCACCATGTGTAAAATCACTTGTCATTTGATACCAAAAAGTACAAGAATGGGTGTTTTGGCCAAATGTGATTATTCCGCCGACAGGGTTTTAAAGGAGGTTTTTGTCTTTAAGCACATTTAGGCTTTGAGCCTTCAGAGTTTAAAAGTAATATGCTAAATCTTTGCTAAGTATATATATATATATATATATATATATATATATGAAGAGTTCAGATGCAAAAGCCTTTAAATGCCATTTGAAATGTTCTTCTTTAATGATTTTTATCAAACTTGTATATTTAAGTTCAGTGATTTCACTTAAATGGCAATGATAATTACCTATTAATTGTTATTTAAGTGAAATTACTGAACTTAAATATACAAGTTTGATAAAAATCATCATTAAAGAAGAAAATTTCAAATGGCATTTAGAGGCTTTTGCATCTGAACTCTTCATATGCACATACCTTTTATTTGCAGTTTGACTGATAAATGTTTGCTATGCTCTTCACTCATTTTTCACACATTTGAGTTTTGTTTCCATTGTGGGAGAGGATTATATATGTACATAAAGTTTTATTTAAAAAAAAGCGAGTGTGGAGGCATATTGAAAATAAAAGAAAAAGTGGCACTTATTGTGTGGTAACTCTCTTTTTTTAATCTAAACATTTTAAGGATTGAAATGGCTACATTTGAAATATTACTGCAACTAATTATTGGCAGCTGAAGTGTCTGCGTAGGAGCTCGAGGGCCGTGCGGGTCCGTGCGTGACTCTCTCTCTCAGCATGGATGTCAGTGCGGGTCTGCTCCACCTCCCTCTGAAGCTTCAAGAGCACAGCCTCATTTTCTATCTGAGCTGCTTTTTCCAGCCTGTCTCCTTCAGACTTCCATTGCGCTTGCACTCTTTCCAGTTCCCACATGAGGTTGGAGCGCTCCTGTGTGATCTGCTGCATGTCCTCTTTCGCTTTTCTCAGAGTTGTCCTCCACATGTCTGCCTCTACTTCCTTTTCCCTGACCTCTATAGTCAACTTATGTAACTGAGCATTCATTTTTTGGCTCTCAGACTTCAAATCATTTATCACAAGGGCCTGACGTGAAGCCATTTTTTTGGAAAGGCTTAACTGCTCCTCAAGCTTCTCCACCAGGCCTTGCAGCTTCATCTTTTGCTTATGTTCTACCTTAAGCTGCTCCTCTGTACAACTGAGCTGTTGCCTTAGTCTCCATCTGTCCTTCTCCACTTCTGCGAACCCAGCCCGTAGTTTGCTGATGTCCCCCTCGTTCCAAATGCACATCTGTCCCGCAGTCTCACTCTGGTCAGAAGGTTTTTCAGAGTTTGCTCCATTTACAGGCTGCTCATGGCTAATAATTCTCTTTGCTAGGGCCTCCTTCTTTAACAGTCGCTCGGTGTGCTGAACCTCTTTCAGAGCTCTCAAGTAGATCTGCCTTCTGTGGCTCATCTTGGGTTCATCAGTGTTTGTAGAGTGGGTGGATGGTGATTTTGTTGAGCTGGTGCATTGTTCATTTGTCTGGTTATCAAGCAAGTTTTGGAAAGAGAAACGAGGGGGGAACAGTTTCTCCACCCAGTGATGGCCATCTCTGGAGCTGGACACATGTTCAGTGGTTTGATCGGTGATTTCCATGGTCCTTGTGTGGTTTGAACTATATTACAATTATCTAAAACAAAAACTCAAGGAACACAGCGTAGGCCTACAATACGGGCATTCATCGCCCTCTTCTTTCAACAGTTATTAATAAAATGGCTGGATGCTTGGTCGTTCAAAACCAAATCTCTCGTCAACCTCGTTATAGCCTTTTTTAAACTCTGGCATTGATGAAACGTACAAAGCTGTAGGTATTTTCCTCTCACCCATAAGACGATTTTAAAGAAATTTTAGCGTTTCATGCTTACAACAACAGAGTCTGCGGTCTATGTACAGTTAGTGAGCAACTTCCTGTTTACAGTACAAGAGAACAACGAACACGTAGCGCCCTCTGCTGGTTTAGTTTAAATTCTTAATATTACATGCAAATCCCTACAAGTTGATTTTGTTCGTTGTTCATTTGCGTTAACCTCAATATGAGCTCGCAGTGTTGCTGAATTTGTATTTTATTTGAAAAATGCTTTGTTTATAAAATACAGAGATGCATAACTCAGTTATGTTGAGTATACTTAATTTGAGATTTTCTGTGTACTAATATTATTCCTTTCATTCCTTAATGAGCTTTGAGTCTTTGATTCATGTCAAAGTGTCTGATATTGTAAAATCAAATTTGAGCGTTAAATTTTTTTAATATAAAAGTAAAAACACTAAAATATAGTGTTTATAATTATCTATATCAGTTTTGTTTTAAATGTGTAATTACAGATAGGCCTATTCATTCACCTGCAAGGATTCTAATGTGACGGTGTAAAAATATTTTTAGGATGTATATTTGCAGAATCTACTTTGATGTTTAAGTAATTTCATTATAAATAGCCTATGGTAAATGGTAAAAACAAAATGGTAAAAAAAAAGGGAAAATTGCTATAAGTTGGAAAACTTATGGTGGTGAGTTAAAGCAAAAACTTTAAAACTTCTTGATATAAGGCCTATATATATTTTCTTTTTACAATGCAGAGTGATTTGTCTCAAAGGTTTTGATTGTCTGGGATTTGGAACGGTTTTTTAATCTAATTGTGGAAGTTGGATGAATATTAGACGTGCATTTCAGAGAGTAGTTTAAATTCATTCACTGCATTAATTAAGAAGATCTTTTTCATTCAAAAAGAAACTTATCGTAATTTTACGTAAAGTATAAAATTGTGTCCAAGTATAATTACATTTAGTTTAAAGCATTCATAACAAAGAACTATCTGTTGTTTACAATTCACAAACAAGTAACATTGTATTCTTGAAAAACTTGTTTAATTTGTTTTTCAGCAACTAGCATAAGTAAATGCATACACCCTATCCTTTTTTTTCACGCTGATCATTTTCTTTGCTCATTGAAGAAAGAAAAAAAGTAGGTTAAAGTTCAAAAGGACGCTCAACAGACTTCCTCCTATTTAAAGAAGATACTGGTAACTTGCCGATCTTAAGATCAGTTTAGAAAACTGTTAGTTTAAAAAAAGTCTTTAGGGAAAAAAAAAGAGTTTGACAATATTGGTCTGTGTGAACTTTAATTAGCATACTCAACAATAAACCCAAGATGAACTCATGGATAAAATGATGTGGGAATACTGAGGAAAATTTGGCTCTTTGAAGCTAAATTATACAATGGTGCGCACACAGCCTATTGTGGAGTGGGGGTTGAGTGAACCAGAGTCAAAGGTCACCAATGCCTTCTGTCTCTCACTGACCATAGGATTCATTTCCATAAGGCCAAACCGAGTGTCTCACATTCTAACCATTTATGAAACATTTTAATGTCTTGAGGATTGCATTTCCTGAATTCCCACTGGTTTTGATGAGCAGTTCCTGTTAATTAGAGCTAAAAAAGATTTTCAGAGGGATTTTGTATGGACTTTCCTTCACCCCCAACAAGAAGGGGATGCTCTATGATTACATGCATGACATAACTTTTTGTCTATTTTGAGTGGCGACATGCTTTGAACATGAAACATCTGCGCAGTAAAGTACTGAGACCTCATTCTTCACTTCAGCCAAAATCAGGTATGTGGACCATTTAATGCACAGATGTCTATTTTACATAGTGTTGTTTACTTTATGCACACAACTTTTACCTGACTGCATCTCAGAATTATTGTTATGTGAATTTATCATGATTTTTGTTACCCACTTTTTATTTAAATTTCTAGTAAAACATTGCTATTTGTTGCTTTCCCCCACCAGTATAGGCTGTTGTGTTTGCTCTGCTTTAACATGTCCAACTTGTAGAATTTATAATCTGTTAAGGGAATATAGTTTTCACAATGTTGCAACTGTGATGTTAGCCATTGTTTCTAAAATTTTGTTTGAACTTTGACTTCTAATGGCACAATGAAGTAGAAAATTTAGTAGAAAGCTTAGATGCCTAAATAATATTAAAATGCATTATATTCTATGTAAACAAGTAGCTTAACTGTTAAGGTTATTACTTTATTGCAGTTATCAACCAAATTTGCAAGTGTGGATGGCACCACAAAAGCAAACTAATCTCAGAGTATTCATGCCCTGCATGGGAGCCCGCCAAAACAGTTCATAGGCTACTTCAACCCCCCTTAATGTTCAATTAATCCAAAACTACACCCTTGAATAATTGGATTTTATATTGCCACTGTGTGCACTAATGCCAAAGCAAATTAAAGAAAATGTTATCTGGAAATATTTATTTCATATCAAGTTATTTATTTTGTTCACCCACTTGCCTAAACAAATTTTTCAATTATTTTCAGATGCATCACTTTTCATAATGCATGTAGCCTAATTCCAAATTAACATGTTTATATTATAATCATATAGAATGGTAACACTTTACAATTAATTTAAATGATCTACTTTAACTAAGAATGAACAATACATCTACAGCACTTATTAATCCTAGTTCGTTAATTTCAGTATGGAAATCAAATGTTGTATTTGTTTGCTATATGCCCCCTACATACAAACGATGAACAACTAGATGTGTATTAACTTGTATTAACAAAGATTAATAAACTAACAAATGATCTAGGCTAAATCTGAAAAATAATCTGTCAACCAATTTGAAATTGCACTGTATTTTGTTTTTAATGAAAGAAATGTTATAGCAACAACATAAAAATACATTTACATTCAACTTTTCCAAAAAGAACATTCATTAAAAAATAGGCTAATTTAACAAACACTTTTTATTCTAATCAACAGTGTTTCAATTGCTTTATTCTTCTTTAATAGTTTTATAATTCTATGTGCTTTGTTATAATAACGACAATAAATAGACAGACTAGCACTCAGTCCATTGATGTGAAAGTGGTGGTAAATGGGATATGGAGAGCGGATGTGTGAGTTGTGGTGGGAGGATTGAGTGAGTTGAGGAAGAGGAGGAGGAGGCTCGCGAGGCTCATCATCATCATCATCACATGACGAGATGTTCGCGCCTCTTTCGTAAACCTTCCCCAACCTGATGATCCAAAACAACTCGGAGGTTATACGCGCTAGTTTAACTGCTGCGGAGGCATTAAAAGCGTCCGATTATTTCTCGTCGTGACCAGGGTTCACGCGTGGGTTTGAGCTGTGGTGAGAGATGATTGTGGAAACTTTGAGATTGTGACAGTGTTTGTTGGTGGGACAGGCTTTGTGTGTGTGTGTGTGTGTGTGTAGCAGCTGAGGAGCTAACAGACAATGTAACCTTAGGAGATGGATCAATTAATGGACTCTTGAACGCTTAGATATATTTGGAGGTTTGTTTGTCTTAACTAAGCACATGTAAGTGAAATTCGTTTTTAAAATACCGGTAATGAGACTTACATTTTCTTGCGACTGTATCAAAGAAATCTGTGTGATTATCAAAGTAACAGTTAGCGTTAATTCGTTATAACCGTTTTTGGAATGGAAATTAAACCATACTTACGTCTGCCTTTAACTTTAACGTTACACGATTTTATTTAACCCGTTTTACAAACAGTTTGTGTAACTTAACTTTATCGTGTTTTGGGTTAATCTGGACCCTGGTTAAAATGTATTTAGAGTTTAATAATTTAAGTTTGAAGCTTAAAACCGGTTTTATCCGTGTATTTTTAGTTTTTATATCAAACCCATATTTGAAAGTAGGCTACTGTTGAGTTTCACGTGGCTCTGCAACCCTTTTCCATAGCAAGGGCCATTCTATCTAAACTCAAACTCAGGTGAGAAACTATAACGTTAGTTGTTGGATTAAACTAGTCTTGAGTTGTGGAAAAATAAGCTATCGTTATAGGCGCCCTTCGTTTAACGTTAATCCTCTAAAATCTGCTCACTTAGGTTAACTCAGTTTTGTTGTTATCGTCAGCTTATAGATCCTATGAGTTCGTTTCCTGTTGAAAACACATACCCAAATTATGTAATAAACAACTTTTCAGATGCTTTGGCTTTAATTTTAGCGTAATAAGCGCTCTATCGTTAAAAGGTTTGCTGCCGATTAAACGACAGCCTAGTGTCGTTGAAAGGAGAGCTCGTGAGCCACACAAGCAGAAGATCGGGCACCGACCTCTCGAGGCCTAGTTAATGTTTGCAGATTCGAGCTCTTTCAGTCTCACAGGCGAATATTCATCATTCAGGTTTTTTTTTGTTCATTTCTGGACGCGCGTGATTTCGAAATATGCTGTAATGCGGCGTTTTGCTCCATTTTTTTAAATTTACGTTTTTACAATCTATAATCTTGCTATAAATGCAGTATTTAGACAACACAAGGTGAAGAAAACAATTTTTAAGGTGACTTGGGTTTTAAGTGGACTCTTTAGGGAGTAGACGTTCGTCAATTAGCTCGTATAACAGTAGTGAAGAACTTTCAAGAAGTTGTACTTGTCTTCAGTTTAAGATCCTCCATTTTGAGAGACCCAACTCGAGCGAAAGCGCGCCAAGCACGAGAATCACTGACGTTAAGTCAGACTACAAACGGACTGTGAAGAATTATACTAAAATGGCATGATACCTTAATTAACTTACAACCTGCAGTCATACATTTTTACCTTAACCATTTA